ACACAAACAAAGCAAGGTGTCAAATGTTAGAAATATAAAAGACTTTGATCAAATTAAGAAACAGCTCATTAACCATAAGTATAATGAAGGAAGGCCTTTCATAGAAATACGTAAATGAAAGTTCAAATAAGTAAATGTGATAATCCTAAAAGAAACCAAGTATCATAGAAAACAAATCCCATCAACTAACATCTACAATTATGAGGACAAAAGCTTTTTATCAATGATTTTAGGTAAACAAAATCCTAAGGAACATTTTTCAAAAATAGAATAATCAAGCCCTCTTATAGGTCAATAATCTATTGAAAAAGCACTCTCCCTTCTCACATGACTTAGTTTTCCATCTCCACCATATCACCCCCTCCTTAAAACTGAATTTTGAATTTAAATAATTTGTTGAATAATACTTCATCACCTTCTTCTTTGGTAGGTCCTAACTATACCTTCTATACATCTCATCCCATATTATATTTTAAATTGAGCTTCACTGTAAGCATTACTTTGGGCTTGACTTTCTACATACTATCATTATAATCAAAACAAATTTTAATTGCTAAAATACCCCCAAACTATACACTGAATTGGTATTTTTAAATAAAACTTTATAATAACAAATTTTGTTATAATTAATTTGTATAAAAATCAATGCAACATATGAATATGCCACCAACTTACATAATGGCTTTAGATCATGAGAATCAATTGCAACCAAACATTTCCCAACCATTTCTGAGTCTGAAGGGGGGACTCATCTCTGCTTTGATCTAAAAACAATACCAATTCATAAGTAATCTCAGATTAAACTAATCAAAGATTAATTAATGTCATGGCATGCCTTCTTTAGGTGCAGATGAGTACAAAAGCAGCGCAAATGGAGATCTAATCCAAGATTTAATTAATAATTAATAATTTAGTTAGTTAATTAATTTATGTGCACTAGGCCGCACACACGTAAAGGCATGTGCCTCCTAAAGCATCCAGAACATCCGCAATGGCTCCTGTTTCTGTATTTGTCCCACCAGTGCTTGCGCTTTTCTTAATCATCTCTTTAATCGGCTCAACTGGAGAGATTATGTTCCTAATTAGTTGTTAATTATTTGGTTTAAGATCTGATTAAGAAAATAATTAAGCAATGGAGACACGTATTTGGGTGTGACTGAACGGTTTAGTGGGAGCTGGTGGTTAGATATTTTGACGTGAATTTAGCTTACTGAATGATTAAATTTTGATTAACTGTTATTTTACTGTCAAATTATTATTTAAAACAAATTCTAGAAATTTGAACCTTTGTAGATAAGACAATCACAGCACACACACACACACACACACACACA